TCCTGACCCTGTAATCACTGAGCTCACAGTTCGATGGGAGGACAGAGAAAAATCACTATGATTCAAGGCAAAATGTGCTCAGTGAAACACTAGATATAAGGAAAGTTACAAAAAGAGTACAAGAGAAAGTTTTGTAGCATAATAAAAAGATTCATACTGATTTCACTTTATTTTTTTATTTATTTTTCTTGAGATGGAGTTCACTCTTGTTGCCCAGGCTGGAGTGCAATGCCCTGATCTTGGCTCACTGCAACCTCTCCCTCGTGGGTTCAAGCGATTCTCCTGCCTCAGCCTCTTGAGTAGCTGGGACTAGAGGCATCCGCCACCATGCCCGGTTAATTTTTGTATTTTTATTAGGAACGGGGATCAGGCTGGTCTTGAATTTCTGACCACAGGTGATCCTCTCGCCTTGGCTTCCCAAAGTGCTGGGATTACAGGCATGAGCCACAGCGCCCGGCCCAGATGTGACTTTAAATCCAGTATTATTCTCTGGTGGTCATGAGCAGTTCACTTAGCCGCCCGCACCTCAGTTTACTTGTCTGTAAAAGTGGAGGTATTAAAAGAGCCTGCTCACAAAGTCCTTGTGAAGATTGAGCTACTGTATATAAAGGTTCTCCTGCAGTACCAGGCACAAAGATGCCCTCAAAAGTGATCATTATTATGATTCCATTGGTCCACAAAAAAGACACAGGCCTAAACTAACGAAATGGAAATGGAAAGGGGAAAAAATCAGCTAAAGAGAGTCATTCTTCCCAGACTGCTTAATTACTGTGGATAAAAGCAGAGACAAGGGAGGGACCCACTAGAAGCGTTGGCCACGAGGGGGCGCCCCCGGAACTCGACGTCCTCGTTGCCCGTGGCAACCGGCGGTACTTGGCTCTGGCTTCCGGGGCTCTCAGCTAGAGCGCCAAAATGGACCTGAGCTCCTGGACCCCAGGGCTGAGGGCTGGCGAGAAGCAGGTGCAGGCAGCCGCCGTCTCCACCGGCCGCTCCCTGGAGTTGTGCACCTTCCCCTCCACCTTGGGCTCCTCGGTCGCGGTCGAGGCACTGGAGCAGCTGTTTGTTGTGGGTAAGACGCTCCTGAGGCGCCTGAAGGGAACTCTCCTCAGAGGTGGCGCTTAGGAGGCGTTCAGCGGGAACCCTGAGCGGGGGCTTTCCTCCTGGAACCAGGGCATTCCTGGCCGGGGCAGAGCCTTCTCCCCGCTCCTTGGAGGCTGGGGAGAGAGGTGGCGGGTGGGGTCAAGTGCCCAGCTTTCTGGCTCTAGCGCAGCTGGGGTGACTTTGCTCAACTCTCAGTACTGGTTGGTGAAAAATCCGGGACTCCCAAGCCACTGCCCTATGCCTGCGACCAGAGTACACACCTGCATTTAGGTTACGCCTTCGATTTCAGTTCTCTTCCTGCCTTTCCTTTACAAGTTAGCATTCTTCAGCATTTTGCCATGGCAAACTGGAGAATTAAACAGGCAAATGGGAAAGGAGTGTTTAAGAGGCTCCTGTTGTGTTAAGCAAGGAAAATTAGATGTAAAAGTTTGCTTAGGAGATTCTAATAGAAAATGACCTTGGATGGGGCCAGGTGAAAATACTTTTTCAGTTAGAACGCTGAACCTGTCTGTAATCAAGTCACTTAAGTTTAAGGCAAGACAGTCCAAGAAAGGGTGTTTCTTGTTCAGTGCAAAACCCGTTTAGGCCAAACAGCAGAACATTTCAGTGCTTCACTAGAATCATCCCATTTCTTCAAGATAATCCTATTGATTTATGTTACAATGTTACTATTAATTTGGGATAGTTTTAATTTTCCTTCTTAAATGCAGTAGGTTAATTTCACAGTTCTTATCAAATATGCTTGGGTAAATATTATGAAGAATGTTAACCACTGAGAAGACCTAAAGTTATTAAGACCTAAATTATTCACATGTATCTGAGGTCATTGTCGATGATAAAGCTAGGACCTTGAACTCCCTTCATACTTGATCTCTAGATCAGCATGCCAGTGCAAACCTAGTACTTATGTACAAATACATTTTTCTGTTAATAATGTCTAGACATGCAGAACATTTTTCATAGGAAAAAAATCATTACACCTTCTTGCTCTGAGTGGGAATTATAAAATATTAATATGTAAATCTCCAGCACATTTGTCCTCAAGGAGCATAAAATATATACCTAAATTATAATATGGAATAGGAAGTCAACACAAAAGAGATTAGTGTATTGTACAATAGAAATTCAGAGATTGAAAATGTAACTTCCAGCCGAGTAAGCATTTGAGCTAGATTATAAAAGGTTAAGTAGGATTTGGGTAGATAAATAAGAGATCTTTATTTTCTAATTTTTTTTCAGAGCGATCACTGCAAAGTGACTATTTTAAATGCAATGAAGAAGCAAAGATCTTTCTTAAGGACATTGCTGTAGCTGTTAAGAAATTGGTATTGTGTTATCTATAAGAACTATTTCTTCAATCTTCCACACATTGCTTCATCAAACTTTCATTTAGTACAAATTCTTTTCAAAGTATTAAGTAGATGATTAGGGAATACAGTTACCCTGAACTTAAAAATACTTTTCTCTCTATTTTGTAAGTATTTACACAATTTTTGATCAACTGTGGATTTTTGCTTGATTTTCCAACTAGAAAACTAAAGCTTGCCCTCATCCACAGCATAAACCCATTGCTTAAAATAACCATACAATCTCTGTAATAAATTTCAGGCATGGTGCCAAGTAACTCAGTTCTCTATAAGCAGTTCCTTGAATACCTGGTCAAAGATTATTTGACATCTGTTCCACTGAAGTAGACTGTACTGTTAGTGAAAACAAAGTGAAACTCTTTCAATTACACTTATCTGGCCCCTATCAAAGACACGTTGAAGAAATATTTAAAGAATCTTCCTCTGAGGTGTCACAGACATCTCTTTTCGGCCATGGATGATATTGACAGTGCTTCCTTGGCACTGTCAGAATGGTGAAGCTCTTCATTTTATTTAAAAATATTGGATAAGGATCTACTACATATCAAATAGCTAAAAATGTAGAAATATGGCTGTAAATGAGTTCGAATCCACAGACTGCTGATAAAACTCTCATCACTTTACATTTTATATAATTATACATACATATATATATACACACACACACATATATATATTACATAATCATACTTTACAGTCCTACTTAATTGGATAGATACATGTAAACACTTAGGGGACATGTGTGTTATGCAGCACTGTGGTACTATGGAATCATTTTTCCCTGCGGGTTTCTTCTTTCAGTTACGTCTTTCTCTAGGATCTTAAGGGGCCAAAATATTTACTGTGGCTAAAGTATCTAATCTGTATTCATTTAATATCTGAGCTGTGAAATCGCTTAAAAAACAGAGATCAGGCTGGGCATAGTGGTTCACACCTGTAATCTCAGTACTCTGGGAGGCGGCGACGGGTGGATTACTTGAGGTCAGGGGTTCAAGACCAACCTGGCCAACATGGCAAAACTCTACTAAAAATACAAAAATTAGCCTGACATGGTGGCAGGATCCTGTAATCCTAGCAACATGGGAGGTTGAGGCAGGAGAATTGCTTAAACCCAGGAGGCAGAGGTTGCAGTGAGCTGAGATTGCCCTACTGCACTCCAGCCTGGGTGACAGAGTGAGATTCCATCTCAAAACAACAACAACAAAACCCAGAGATCAATTCTTTTATTTTTAAAGTAATAAATTTTTACTATTATAAAATTAATACATATTGACTTTGGAAAATTTCAGAAAAAAACAGATAAGCAAAAGGACCACATTAAAATAATCACAATTAATACTGATGAATGTACTTTCTACTTTCAGGGTATATAGGTGATGACTGCATTGAATTTCATTTTTTACAGAAAAGTGATCATGCCATATGTGTAATTATATAGTCTGCTTTTTGTAATTCATAAAATATAATGGCAGTTTCTCAGGTTATGAAATAGCAATAGCTATAGCTATTATGACCATATATTTAAAAGATGATTTATCTACTTTTTTTCCCACTAACTGATTTCTGAGTGGTATTTCCTTTCTTAAAGTAGCCTCACCTAAAAGTAATAATAACAGCTTTACCTATTTGTTTGGGTTTGTATGTGTGCGTGAGAAAACCATTGTTCTTTGTATACCTAAGCATATTTTTATAGGCGATTTCCATATTTTAATAAGTAGCTTTTTTTCTCAATATTACTATTTTTGTTAGAGTCTTTCCTTTTAAATGGATTGAAACTGCATATACAAATAAGGAAAATATTTAATGTAATTATAGTTTGACCCCTGAAAACATTTATAGGACATTGTTTAGGAAATCAGTCTTACTATCTTAGTGTCTTAACTTTTTAAAAATATAATTTAAATTTTCAGGAAGAAATGAGAAAAGCCACAATCGATCTTTTGGAGATTGAAAGCATGGAACTCAACAAACTATACTATCTATTGGAAACTCTTCCCTATAGCATTAAGAGGGAATTGGAAGGTACTTTTGAGGTTATTAACTGTAGAAATTTAGTTGATCTTATAAGAAAGTAGAATGAAGTACTTTTAACAAGATAAGTTTTATAAGTATTGCTCATGTAAAGTATAACTAGAAAGCATACATGACACAAACACAGTAAGATCCATAATAATTTTCTCTTATATTTTAAGTGGAAATAGTATATATAGCAGTTGAATTTATATAATATGGTTTCTAAATAGACTATAGATAAATGGATCAGCGCATTCCAAATTGGTATTTATCCAATTAAATTAGGCAACTTGGCTGGCCTACACCATCATTCTACTTTCTGTCTGAGTTTTGGATACTCTAGGTACCTCATATAAGTAGTATCATGCAATCTTTGTCTTCATGACTGGCCTCCTTCACTTAGCATAATGTCTTCAAAGTTTATTCATACTGTTCTATGTGTCAGAACTGCCTTTCTTTTTATGGCTGAATAATAGTCCATTGTTTGTATCTATCACATTTTGCTTATTTATTCATCTGCAAATTGTCACTTGGGTTGCTCCCATCTTTTAGCTGTTGTGAATAATGCTGTTAAGAACATGGGTATTCAAATATGGGTTGAGCATCCCTTATCCAAAACAGCTGTGACTAGAAGTGTTTCTGATTTCTGATTTTTTTTTTTTAGGAATTTGGAATATTTGCATTATACTTACCAGTTGAACATCCCTAATCCATAAATCTGAAATGCTTCATTGAGCATTTCCTTTGATCGTAATGTAGGTGCCCAAAAGATTTTGGGTTTTGAAGCATTTCCAAAATTATGCTCAAAGGAAATGTTCTTTGGAGCATTTCAGTTTTCAGATTTTTGGATTAGGGATACTCCACCTGTATCCAAGTCCTTGCTTTCAGTTTTTGTTGTTGTTGTTGTTGTAGTATATTTATGCATAAGTGGAATTGCTAGATTGTATGGTAATTCTACATTCAATTATTTTTTTTTTTACTGGGGTCAGATCTTACAGAGTCATATATTCAATATTTTGAAGGTCTGCTTTGCTGTTTTTAACAGTGGCTGCACCATTTTATGTTGCCCCCAACAATACACAAGGGTTCCAGTATCTCTACATCCTTGCCAGTGCTTGTTATTTTTCGGATGGTTTTGTTTTTGTTTTATCTGATTGCTATCCTGATGGCTGTGAAATGGGATCTCATTGTGATTTGATTTGCATTTCCCCAATGATTAGTGATGTTGAGCTTCCTTTTGTGTGCTATTGGCCGTTGGTAAATCTTTTTTGGAGAAGTATCTATTCAGGTCCTTTACCCATCTTTTAATCAGGTTGGTTTTCTTTGTTGTTGCTGAGTTGTAGTTCTTTATGTACTCTGAATGTTAACCACTGATTAGATATACTATTTGCAATATTTTTTCCCATTCCATGGATTGCCTTTTCACTCTGTTGATAGTGACCTTTGATGCACAAAAGTTTTAGATTTTGATGCAGTCTAATTTATCTCTTTTTTCTTTTGTTGCCTGTGCTTTTGGTAGCATATCAAAAATCCATTGCCAAATTCAATGCCATGAAGATTTTCCCTATGTTTTCTTCTAAGAGTGTTATAGTTTAAGCTCTTAGGTTTAGGTCTTCGAACTTTTTTGGGGGGGGTAAATTTTGTATTTGGGGTAAGGGTCCAACTTCATTTCTCCAGATGCCAGGAATGTTGGCTGAGGCTCACAGCTGAGTTCTCCAGGGATTATCTTCAACAAAAGAGAGAAGGGGCCAGGTGCGGTGGCTCACGCCTATAATCCCAGCACTTTGGGAGGCTGAGGCAGGCAGATCACTAGGTCAGGAGTTCGAGACCAGCCTGGCCAACATAGTGAAACCCCATCTCTACTAAAAATGCAAAAAAAGAAAAAAAAAAAAAGCTGGGCATGGTGGCACATGCCTGTAGTCCCACTACTTGGGAGGCTGAGACAGGTGAATCGCTTGAACCTGGGAGGCAGAGGTTGCAGTGAGCCAAGTTCACACCACTGCACTCCAGCTTGGGCAACAGAGTGAGACTTCGTCTCAAAAAAAAAAAAAAAAAAAGGAAGCTTCACCCCAAGTTATGTTCTCTCCCCATGCCTGCCACCCACATTGATGATTGGTCACTATGAAGGTACGAAGGCCTGGCTCCCTTGCCTCAATGTAAAACAACTCTAGAGCATCATCACAGCTCCAAAGCTCATCACAATTTAATCTCCTCCCCTGCCCAGCCTTTTATTTCCTCCAAAGAGATGTTCCTCAGAGCACTACACAATCAGTGCTCTCCACACACATTTTAAAATCTGTTTCCCAGAGAGCCCAACCTAAAAAGAGTGGTCTTAATAAGTAAAAAAATAAAAAGTAGATTTTCCAGTTAGCCATTTAAATTTTCTCCTTGACCAGATGGCACAATGTTAAACTGTGTCAGCAGAAGGCATAGGAGGGATATGGAGGAGGAAGGGGTTCTCTTCCTGGCTCCAGTGTGCTCAGCTTGGCTGACTCTTGCAGTGCGTGCAGCTTCTCCAGGCCGTGGTCCTGCAGCACCCAGCAGTCTACAGTGCCCAGCAGCTTCCCCCAATACCCGTTGGGTAGCTTCAGCCACCAATGAGACAACTCTCCATGAAGAGCTTCTCTGGCACCCTCTTGGGTAGTTTTGCAGTGAGTTCTAAGTATGGCATCTTTCTGTGGGCACGTGCCCCTAACACCCACAGAGAGCAGATTTCCAGCAAGTCTCATCAGCCCAGCATTTCAGGAACTTCTCTGCCTTCTAATGAGGCCTAGATCCCAGGTCTCGAGGTGCTGTTTCCTCGAGCACTGTATCTCAGCCCTAGGGATGGTGGCTACTCCTTATGTCTGCTATTTCTGAATGCTTTCAAGTTCTCTTCACTTCTTACCACTCATTCCCGAATCCTCTAATTACTCTAATCTTCAATTGTAGTTAGTAATTTATTCTATTAAACTTTCCCTTTTCAATTTACTGTGAGATTTCTATTTCCTAATTAGACCTGACTGATAGAGTGAGTTTAAAACAATATGCTTGGTGTTAGTCTAGTTTGACAGGGAAAATGCAACAAACTATATGTGCAGAGAAAGAAAATCATATTTAGAAGAAAATGCACCAAAGGTAGAATTAAAAGTGTTTTTTTTTTCTTTGTTTGCTGTTCCTTATTTTCCAGATTGGGTTGCTTTTATAATCAGAAAAAAGTATTTTAGAAGGGAGAAAATATAAGAGCTTATAAGGTCTTTAATACATGCTAAATGCTTAACCAAGTAATTTAATTAGTTGGCCTTATGTCATAAGTCCTTACTATTCAGAGTGTGGTCTTTGTGTCAGTAGCATAAACAACATGTAATAACTTGTGAGAAAATACAGAATCTCTGGGCCCATCCTAGACCCACTGTATCCAAAGCTGCATTTTAACAAGATCTCCAGCTGATGTATTTGCATATCTGAGACACAAAGTTTGAGAAGGCCTTCTGCAATAAGCAATTTAACTAGTAGCCTAGAAAGAAAAAATATCCTAGCTCTCTCAGGAGAGCTACCAGCTAGTTTCTAGGGAATTTATGTAGAAATGAGTAGTCCAGCACCTTTCTAAACATCAGTGTTCAAAAATTCATGCATATTGACTATCTGTCATGCACTGAGATAATCCTTTGAAGTCATACGTGGTTACACTGACTTGTTATTTATGGATGAATAATTATTTCCTTAATACTTTGGGTTCCCCAAAAAGCAGAGCCTGAGGTAATGGCTTTCGCATTATTATTTTATTAGAGAGTATAATCCAAAGAGGAGGATGAGATAAGGAGACCAAAGCAGGGGACAAGGAAGAGATAACATGTGGTGTATTATGATGGTGGCTGCTGCTAAGCAGAACTAATTAATTATGAGAAGAAGCCCCCAAGACCCAGTGTTACTTCTTTTCAGGACCATCTATCAGTGTGAGAGAGGGAGAAATATTTATGCACTGGCTCCCATCTGTCATTCGTCTGATGCTTGCCCTACCTCTTATACTTCTGGGTTATACATGCATGGGTGTGGGTACATAAAGAAGCCTCATGGTAGAAATTATAGAAGTCCTAAGCAGGAGGTGAGAAGTGTGTGGAACCACAGGCACTATCAGACTGCACCTGTCTGAAGATGATCCAAGGCCACAGAAAGCTGATCACCATAGCACCAGCAGAAATAAGAGAAATAATTAGTAGGTAAGATTGAGAGGGACCAAGGGAGTAAGAGGTGCCTGATAAAAAACATTATTAAAAGAATATTTCAAAGAAAGGCTTTTTTTTCAGGATTTGAAAATTCAGTGTCTATAATTGTGCTCTTCCTCAAATAATGTAGTAACATTTCCACTTACTTTGAAGAATGTGTCAGAGACGCTCGCAGATTAAATCTTTTTGAGATAAATACAATAAAAATGAAAATTACAAGAACAGAGAAAGAAATAGAGCTTCTGAAGAAGAAAATAATTGACCTGACAAAATATAATGAAGCTCTGGGGTAGGTATTCTTACATTCAGTATTTGAGGGAGAAGGGGTCTGTGGCTGGAATGGGAAGATTGTCGGAAGGGGTTTATTCTCTGATCTGAACTGGGCAGGGCAAGTTGAGGGGTGAAAATGGGTTGTAGGAGATGACCCAGGCTGATGGGGTAGGGAAGGTGATGGATGTAGAGGACTGAGGAGGAGAGCAGAAAATCTTCAACCACAGCAGCCAGGAGACCTGTAATATTTCAAAGGCAGTCCAGCTTCCCAGCAGCAACTACTGTTTATAAATCACACACTACCTCTGATGCTATCTCCAAAGGTAGACACACAGTGGGTTTCGTTTCCATTTTCATAGAATTAAGTTTACAAACCCCCACCACCAAAGTAAGAAATCTGGCAGGGATTATATTGTAAATCTAATATCAAACCAGACCTATTGTATCTGTTTCAGTTCATTGAAGATATTTAGTCATATTTGTAATCCACTGGAGGACTGAGGATGGGGCTAGTTCCCAGGACAAGGTTCCAGATTTTATCTGTAATTAAATGAGACAGTATGTGAAACTGCCTGTAGCTCAGGATCTGACACCCCTTAGTGAGCCGCATTTTCTCCATCTGTGAAATGGGGATCACAACTCTTAACTTTGGTAGCTCATGAAAGGAAGAGATATATTCTGAAAGAAAGAACTCCTTGAAGAATTACTCACCCCTATGAGAAAATTTGATACATTTTAATAAATATAAATATCAGCATGTTAGTTTCCAGAGTGATAAATATTCACTAAGAGCCCTTATCATAGGGGAAAAAGTCTTCTTGGGAAGCTAAAATAATCAGAGGGTTGCCTGGTACCCCATATATCAAATCGACAGAAATCAGGTAGAGATCTCAAGGCCCAGGGACATGGATTTCAAACCAAGCTCTCAGAACACCTGTGCTGGGAGATGCTCCATTAAAGAGAAAGTTTATGATTACATAAGTTTGAGAAATACCAGATACTCTAATCCCTGTTGGGGTTTCACAATGCAGATTTGTGCATGGTGCATGCTAGCCACAATGGCCAGAGCCTGCTACATAAACTAGACTATCCCTAAACTAATAACAAGAAAAATGATACCCAGGCTAGATATTTATATCAACTGGTCCCAACATCACATCCCTATAGACCAATGATTCTCAAACTTGATCTTGCATCAGAATCACCTGAAGGGCTTGTTAAAACCCAGCAGCAACTACTGTTTGTAATTAAATTACTGGTACTTGCTTCCAAAATTTCTGATTTAATAGATCTGGGAGGAGTGGCATGGGGACAAGAATTTGCATTCCTGACAAATTCTCAGGTGATGCTGTTGCTGCTGGTCCTGGCCACATTGGGGGATCCACTGCTCTAGACAAATCTTCATAGAAAGGCCATAACAAACAGAAGGTGGTGCTGGTTTTGTTGGCATCATCAAGCTACAATCATTTGTTGCATCAATTTTTCAAGGAAAAATGCATATTAAAGTGTCCACAAGCTCTGACAGGTGGTGGGTATGTCTCCTGTCCTGGGCAATTTTCAAAAACTAGATACAGATAGAGCAGCTGTTTGAATGTGCTTTCCTAAGGCTCCACACTGCATTTGTGAGTGTTCTTCTCAGCCCATCACAGCACACCTAGTGAGGTTTTTTGAGTTTACTTATTTTGCTTTGTTTCCTGGAGGCTCCACTGTCCTCAGGTTGATTCATTCTTAGAAGCCTTCCTCTGCTGCATCCACAAAGCCCCTATTATCTGACCATCTACTGAGCCTCTCAACTGGGCTTCTCTTTATTCCTTTCTTTTGTGGGGTTTGGCCCCTGGAAGCAAACTTCCCAACAGCCTGCTTTTACTTTCCTGAACTTTCAAACACAAATTCTTTTAAAAGTTGCTAGTCCTGAGGACTAGCCAAAGGAAAAGGGTCTTTACATTGCAGGAGCTTTTAAAAAGGAAAAATAGAGACATGGCACCGATTGTCCCTTTTGTAAATCTTTTGTTGTTAGCCTCAAGGTAGACATTTCTCTCAATCTTAAGATCTTCCTCAGATGGACACTGGCCAGCAATGGATGTGTGAGGTTAATGACTCCTATTGAGCTCAGCTTTGGCTCCAGCTGGGAGAAGCTAAGAGGGTTCAAATTAGGTTTCAAGCAACCTCCAAACAGTAAAGATGGACTCTTTTCTTTCCCTGATTTCTGTCCAGAGGAAGGTGAGCTTTCTGTTGGGCTCTGCCTGAAGGGCTGTAGCACCCAGGGTGGTTGGAGATGTGATGAGATGTTTCTTTTTCTTTGGCTTAACATCGTATCTCAGGATGATGAGATAGACATGATGACACTATGTATCAAAACACTCATCTGGCCAGATCCCATTTACCTGTTCAAAACTATTTTTGAGTCATTGTATTCTTTAACCCAAAAAATTCTGTGTTTACCACCTGGCATGTGGGGACTGGTGGGGTAAAGCAGGGCCACACGACATTCTAAAGTCGTATAAGTTGCACAGTTGATGCTTGTTTCCTGCTGTCCTCATCTCAAACATTTTTTTTAAAATTTGAGACAGTCTCATTCTGTCAACCAGGCTGGAGTTCAGTGGCGTGATATTGGCTCACTGCAACCTCTGCCTTCTGGGTTCAAGTGATTCTCCTGCCTTAGCCCCCTGAGTAGCTGAGATTACAGGTGCACACCACCATGCCTGTTAAATTTTTGTATTTTTAGTAGAGACGGGGTTTCAGCATGTTGGCCAGGCTGGTCTCAAACTCCTGACCTCTCAGGTGATCTGCCTGCCTTGGCCTCCCAAAGTGCTAGGATTATAGGCATAAGCCACTCTGCCTGGCCTTCAACCAAGTTTAGAAAATCATAAACACAGTCACAAAATAAGTATTCTTGACAGTTTTCCTCTGCCAAGGATTCATCTCACCACAGAGACTTTATTCCTTTCTTAGGAGCTGTGCTTCTCACTCTGTGAGCAATTCTTTCCTCCCAGGGAGAAACAGGAAGAGCTAGCAAGGAAGCATGCGAGGTTTATCCTGTCACTCAACCAAACTATGGAGAAAAAAGCCACCACCACTGTTTACATAAATGAGACTTATACTGAAATAAACTTGAAGAGAGAAGACATAGCATTGCAAAAAAAAATTATTAAAGAGGCAGAAGAGCTAATGGAAAAAGAAAGGGCAGAATATCTAATAAGAAAACAAGAGTTGGCTGCACAGGTAAGTGACATGATTTATTCTTTAAAATACAGAATCTGGGGCAGGAAATGGGAAATAATTTATTTGTCCTCAAGGCTGGCAAGCAGCCTCTGTGGTATCTTCTTTGAACACTGGGAAAATGGGATAAGTGGGAAACTCAAGGATACTTCCCCGGTGGGGGAAGATATTGATGGGTAGCGCATCGCAGTTCATGGGGATGAATATAAGTGACAGGATTTGTAACACTGGGGTGTCCCCTTGCTTATACACAGCCATATAGGGACAAGAAATAGGCTACCATCTTATCCGGTTGCCTTTGGTAATCCTGAGACTGTCTGTATGGACAGGACCAAGGCGTTCAGACATTTATCAGCCCTGTTGCTCCTGATAAATGAATCAGAAACAGTAGTGGCCTGCAAAGGGGCTGGGCAGAACTGAGGGCCTTAAAGAGAAAACAATGTTTGGAGACCAGCAATTTTGTGAGGGTGGGGCAGGAATAGCTACTGCATTTTTTTCTGTCACTATGGAGGCTGAACTCCCTGCTATGCCATGTTAATTAAAATTCAGCATCAGATCAGTTATGTTTGTTTCTTCCTTGTCCTGCTCTGGTAGACTCAGGAGAGGTGGGCTGTTTGCATGTTAGGTGTTCCCAGCAACAGTCTTCATTCTCCTTCTGCATTAGGGAAGCCTAGCTCATGATGCTGCCCTATCCATGATGGGAATTGGCATAACCTCAGGTTATAAATGTAGGAAACTGGACTTAGACTTGCAATACTGACTGCTATGTTAGAAAGAGGAGAGAAGGAAGGAAGGAAGGGAGGGAAGGAGGGAGGAAGGAAGGAAGGAAGGAAAGGAGAAGGGAGGGAAGGGGGAGGGGGAGAGGGAGGGAGGGAATATTTATTAAATTGCTTTTCTTGAGTCTTAATTAAAATTTAAAGCATTAAAATCTGACAGTAACTGATTCTTATGGCAATTGATTCCATGATAAGATTTGGGCTTTTTGAAAATTCCAATCAAGTCTGGGCTTCTTTATCCTTAAAAGTGCCTACCTCCTCAGAAATCATTTTACACTGAAGCTATGTACTATTCTTCCTGAGTAGAGAGCTTCACCCTAATCATCCTTGTAAGAGGGACGTTGTGAAGTAGCTGGCAAGGAGTCTAACTCAGTCCATTTGAACTGCTATAACAAAATAACTGAAACTGGATAGCTTGTAAATAACAGAAATTTCTCACAGCTCAGGAGATCCCAGATCAAGGTGCCAGCAGGTTCAATGTCTGATGAGAGGTCAGTCTCTGCTTCTAATGTAATGCCTTGAGCAATGCCTCCTCCAGAGGGAACAAACACTGTGTCTTCACATGGAAGAAGGCTAAAAAAAAAAAAAAAAAAGACCTAGCTAAATGCCCTCCCACCCTTTTATAAGGTTACTAATCTCATTCATGAAGGTTCTGCCGTCATGACTTAATTGCCTCCTAAAAGCCCTGCCTCTTAATACTATCACATTGGCAATTAAGTTTCAACATGGATTTAGGGGTACACATTCACATCAGAGCAGACTTCTTTGGGCAGTCTGCAGCTTCTGAACATAAATTATAAAAGCCAAGCTCCTTGAACCTTTCTTGAGATTGAAACCATCTGTTAGCTTGGGTTGCAGTACTTGAATCAACTGAAATCTGTATCTCAAGAATAGGATAGGGTTCCTCTTGCTGAGCTAGACCTTACTTGGATTTATTGTTATCACAATGAAAAGGAAGTTTCAGGACAACAGGGATCAAAAGGGATTTACTTTTTCGTTTCCTGTTGACAATGATGATGAACACTGAAAGCAGGATTCTGTTCTCACTGATCAGTCCAGAACCCACACCTGGTATGGCTCACTTAAATTACGGGGCAAAGAGTGGGGTGTGTTTGTGTGGGCATAACTGGGTAAGGACTTCGAGGGTGGTGGAGTAGTGGAGACCCGGGAAACCCTGTCACTTTTCTTTGCTTCTCCTGGGAACAAAACATTCAGTCAAGGATGGCATCCAAGCTGCATTTTGCCCACCAGAAGGTAAGCTGCCTAGGGCAGGGGTTTTGTCTGCTTCATTCACTGCTGCATCTTTAGCAGCAAGAACAGTGGCTGTGTACCTCACACATGGCAGACACACTGTAATATTACTTTATTTAATGAATGAGTTAATAACTTCACAAGAAAGGAAGCCCAGAAAGGCTTCATATAGGGAATTTGCAAGCATGACAGATTCCTCTTTCTTATGGTACGTAAATAGTCTTTCTCAGGGGTCCACAGACTTTTTCTGAAAAGGGCCAGATACTAAATATTTAAGGCCATGCAGTCTCTGTTACAACTACTCAGCTCTGCCATTTGAGCACAAAAGTAGCCACAAATAGAACCTACATGAATGAGAATTGCTTTTCATAAACAGGTGGTGCTGGATTTGGCCCATGGGTTGTTTGCTTACTCCTGCTCCATCTCCCAGGGAAAGGGTACCAGTTAGGATGCTATCAGATGAAAAATGCAGAAGCCCTGACTCATGCTGGCTTAAACAGTAAGGGCCTTTATTATCTTACAGTTTAGGAATTCCTGAGGTGGGGCAGCCTTTAGAACTAGTTAAGGCAGTGGGTCCTCTCTTCTTTCTTCACCCTTTATCCTAAGGCTGGCTTCCCTCATGGTCACAACATGGCTGCCAGTGACAGTTGGACCCTATGACCTGGCCAGGTTAAAATAGTGCCCATCAGCCTGGCACAGTGACTTATGCCTTTGATCCCAGCACTTTGGGAGACCAAGACCAGTGGATCACCTGAGATCAGGAGTTCGAGACCAGCCTGGCCAACATGATGAAACCCCATCTCTACTAAAAATACAAAAATTATGCATGTGGTGGCGGGCACCTATAATCCCAGCTACTCGGGAGGCTAAGGCAGGAGAATTGCTGGAACCCCAGAGGCAGAGGTTGCAGTGAGCCGAGATGACACCATTGCACTCCAGCTTGGGTGACAACAGAGAGACTCCAGCTAAAAAAAAAAAAAAAAATTGTGCCCATCCCTGGAACAACAATGCACTGTAAGGGAATGTCATGTCCAGTGGGTTAGACCAACTGAGGTGGATGTATATTAAAGAATCGACCACCAGTGTTTACTAAAGACACATCATAGTCCGTGGTCACAACCTATTCTTTCCCTTCCTATGAGAAAGGAAAAACTATTACAGGTGTCAGAGAATCTTCAACCTATAATATTCCCCACAACACCAAACAAAATAGTAGTTGCTAATTTTATTTCTATGATTGCAAGACCTCGGGAGAAGGCTTCAGCCAAAGTATGAATGCAAAGTTTTCAATTTCCTTTCTTTTAGGCATGTACCACCATGATGGGATAATTTTTTAATTTTTTGTGGAGACTGGGCCTCATTATGTTGCCCAGGCTAGTCTTGAACCCATGGCTTCAAGTTGTGTTCCTGCCTCAGCCTCCTAAAATGCTGGGATTAGAGGCATGAACCACCTCTGGGCCAGATTTTCAATTTTCAGCAAATTTTATTAATCATGAAGTTTCATTCATATGCATCTGTGCCCTGGCACAGTGATAATTGGTAATGATCATATTTATTCAGAGTAGCCACTTTGGGTGAAGCAGCTGGTGGCTTTAATGAGAAGTCACCCAGGCATATGATTTCATAGCTCTTTAATACAGAGTTGAATGTGCTTTCCCAGGCCTTTCCAGGCCTTTCTACTTAATTAATTACCTTGTTCTTGGTAATCCATTTTACAGACAAATCCATGATATGTTTGATTTTGATAAGAGAGTGACATAGTTCATTAGGGTCTAACAAGTGATATTGTGATAAAATGGTAAGAAGTTTTCCAGGATTACAGGCTGCTCTGTCTTTAATGATTTTGTTTGCTCTGTGTTTAGCTGGTTTTATTTCCCATGAAATAATGTTAATTTAGATTCCTAGATAATTTCTTCATTCCTTTTACTTTTCTTGTCTGCTTAATACACTGTAAATCTGGTCACTACTGCTGTGGTGATTTACTAGTAAATCACTACTGTGGCAATTGCTTTTATCATTAGTTATTAATAATCATTATTATTGCTCTTAAAAATTTACTATTTCAATATTCAGTAATTACAGTTTGGCTCTTGTGGTTCATGATTTTTCCTGTGATACTACTAAATAAGCAAACCCTAGTTTTTTTGTTTGTTTATTGGTATACTTGGATTGAATATGTTATACTTAGATTAAATATGAATTAGGTTGACACATTTTTTAAAGGATTTTCTAAACTTTTTAAATTGGTTTATTATGCTTGTCACTATAGATTAATGAATTTAAAAATATCTGTGAAATAAAGAAAATTGAGACTTATGAAAAGAAGAAAGAATTGGATAAATTACAAACTAAAGTATCAAAAATAAAAGAAACAGTTACTACTTCTGCAGTGGTAAGAAAGAATAAACTATGTATGTATTTTAAGCCTTATCTAGGTACCTCAATAAAAAAGGAGTTGATTTTAATTCATCTTTATGCCATGCTGAGAGGATGTTTTCTGCACATCAACATTTTCTGACACTTCCTTTATAGTGTTATGGTGCAATTGTGGTTTCCTCCTCAAGAATATAATGGGAAGAAGGAAATTAGGAATGCCTTAAGTACCAACTGAATTTGATGGGCCAAATTACTATGAAAATATTGATTTAAAAAAACAGAACTAAATGTGGAATAATAGAACAGAGTTTAGGCTCTCTGTTAATATTGGGTACAGCAACATTAATATGTAAAGGAGATCATGTGTCTGTTGAACTAGAAAATAAATATGTCAGAACTCTGTACTTCTGTTAAAAGACTGTGATAACATTTGCTGAAAGGCAGCACTATGATAAGTATTTTGTGAGGATTATCTTTATTTTAGAGGCGAGAAAATATAAGCTGATGGAGGTGACTATAATTGAAGTGGTTAACGTAAATACTACTTGTATGTTAATTAAAACAAAAATGCCTGTTAACCTCTTATCACAATTAAATTAATGAATCTTTATTTTTTTCTATATGTCTTGAAAAGTCACATGTAAAACTATACTATGGGGTGGTTCTGCTCGTCTTAATTACAATATATCTATTATGATATCCAATTACAAAACATTAGTAAAATGAAAAATTTCTCATAAATATGTGCATTAAAAAAATCATTATCTGTTTTTAAATTTCAACATAGTAAGGAAGCACTAGGCCTACAGGAAACTATAGAGGCTATATATAACATATTTTATCTGCATGCCCAAGCTCCTGTTTCCAGTTTTGCCCTCATAAATCGTAAATCAAGCCCACCAACAACTAGCTTGGGAAAATGAAGTATGTGTTCCTTAGCCTATACTCTGAAGGTCTCTAAAGCCAAATTAGAAAGGCTTGAAGGTGGCAGGAGTAAATTCGCCTCTGGGTCCGTTCCCACTCTCCACAAGCCAGCCTGCCCACCCTCTTACCCTTCCATCAGTAGAAAATAGTTTATTAAGCACAAACTTAAGTATCACACAGAACTGGGTTCAAATCTTAGTTCTACAAACCTGAAATTTCCTCATCTATAAAATGTAAGTATTAATATTGCCTACTGCAGAGCATTTTTGTGGAGATTAAATGAAGTCATGCCTATTAAGTGCTTTATATTTGGGAGTTCATTGTCATTGTTGTTGGCTGAGGTTAGCAAACAGTATTTTGGCTATAGACTGAGACCACAAGGAATTTCAAATTTACTCTCACATGGGACATGTGGTTCAGAAGTCTCTGCAGCCAGGTTATGTTGATAGGAGTTGGCAGAAAAAAAATAATAGCATGTGACCCTTAAGGCGGCCTACCTGTCTAGGCAAGGAGGACTAAGGATAAAAGATAACAGATGTCAGACCGATTAGGCCTTGAGCATGTATCACTAAATCTGATGACTGATCAGAGGCCTCTCAACATTCTGCTCATTTTGATGGTAGTTCTATGACTCCTGTTAGCTCTGGAACTAGCTATTGGTGCACAAGAGAAAGAAACCGTTTTGAGTAGCTTTTACCCACGTCTCTCACCTGGCATGGCTGAAAGCACCTCAGTTCTCCCCACAGGTGTATCTCTGATACCACATTGCTGTCCAGGGTTAGATGGCATTAAATATTATGTCCATGGTAATTCTATGTTGGAGAGAAGAGGAATTTGTTTCATCAGCCTTGTCTAAGCTCTATTGTCCCTCACAAGCTGAAATGCAAACCCAAGGCTGAATAAGTTTGACTTTCTTCTTCTTGATCCCAAAATTGCATTGCAAAAATATGTTTCATTATAAATTTTCTCCATCAATTTTTCCCTCTTTTAAATTATAACTTTTTTTTAATAGTATCCAATTATTCCATTTCCTAAATTTAGATTAACTATTAAGAAATAAAAATTATTTTCAGCATGAACATAGCTATCAAGGGAAACAAAAGACCCAATTTGTTCTGACTTTTTAAAATAATACTCATTTCAATCTCCTGGGATGATAAATGAAGATGATTGTGACAATATGGATTTGTTTAATTTTTCAAGTGGTAGACAAAGTTAATTCTTATCTCAAAAAATTTTAAAAGTAGTCACATTCTCACTGCTGTATTTAGCCATTTTCCCCTGTAAATTTTGGGTTTTTCTGATGATTTCAGAATTATGTGTGTCCAAGTTTATTTTATAGAGAAACAATTATGATTGCTTTTTTTTCCTGGTAGTGTACCCCGATTGTAAAAGTTGAATGAGTAACTCATGAATATTGAGTGGAATTGAACTGCTGTTATAAATCACTTGGTGATGATTAGATACCATATTTTGTTTAATTTTTAATAGGTTCTTAGTGATCACAACTTAGAGATAGCACAACTACATGAATCGATAAGGTATTGGGAACAACAAGTCAGTGAGCTAAGGAAAGCCCTTGTGATTCTGGAGACTAAACTGTGAGTGTAACGCTTTATTTTTACTGAAGTGTTTCAAGATATGTTAATATGGTATTATAATATAGTTATGCTATGTGTTCACTTTTAAAAACATGTCTTTAATTTGACACGAAAATTGTATTCTCTTAGTTTACTAAAATATGTGTGATAGTTTTGTGGAATCACCTTTTTGTTGTAAAATTAGTCCTTCAAATGATCAAGAGAAAAAATTAAAGATGCTGTCAGCTTGGGGAAAGGAAGGGACTCTTTGGAATGTATGTATTATTCCTATTTCAGTTACTGACTCACTACAAACAAAAATGCTCATGGGGGAAGGCATTAGTGGGACGTAGCATAGGCTACAACCCATCTAGCCATGCTGTTAGAGTTGTTCTTATTCAAGGGAGACTTGCCAAACTTCCTGAGAAAATATAGGGAAGTCCAGGGGAAAACTGCTGCACATGGGACTAGAACCAGAAACTGAAGGAGGCATTCCATCCATCCAAAGCCTCAGTCTGTGCTTCATTTTGTGAAAGCATTTCATTTGTCTCTTTATCTGCATATGGTATTCTCTTCTTGGTGAGCACATGGCAACCTCTGGCTATGCCATATCCTCTGAATTGACCTTGCACAGGTCCAACTGTCTTTAAAGATTGATCAACACACTCTCTCCCCAGAAAATCCCCAGATTTCACATCAGAATATGTTTGGCTCAGCTTTGGTTCCTAATCCAATCAGCTCTGCACAAGAAGATGGAGTCTTACTTATAACATGGCTTCCGGGGACTACTCCAATGGTTCACTGACAGTTTAAGAAACAAAATGTGGACTGAGTAGATTCCAAAAAGACAAGTAACGTCACATGTAGAATCCTGTTATAACATAGGTCATTTCTATATACATTTGAATATATTGCAGTTAAAATTATAATAGGTCTTTCAAAACAGCAATGCTGATTTATCATTATCAGTTCATAAAATGGCAACAATCTTTATCTTCAGTATCAGATTAAAAAATAAGAAAACTCAATTAATACCACAACTACAACTCAAAAAAAAACAAAAACTCTTATTTTGTGATTCAATAGTATTAGTTTACATATATTTTGAAGAAAAAGCAGGCAAGAAGTCATAGTGGAAGATGTGGATTAGTTCAAATTATTTCTAGCTGTTACGAATAAAAACCTCATTACATTGATGAAATTTTATTTATAAGCCATCTTCATGTTAGCTAACATGTATAAGGATTCATTGATCTTCCATTTGTAGTGATTTATCATTATTTATAATCCCAGCTTTTTAAGAGTTTGGATTCATGTAGAATCTCACCAAAGAAAAGTGCTTTATATTAACGTGGTGATCAAGGACATAAGTTATTCTCCCTTTTATTAAAAAAAACTTTACTTTTTCTTCTTTATTACCTGGAAAATTAAAAGAAAGTTCTTTGTATTCTTCCTGTTTTCTTCCTTAGCTGATTTCCTCTATCTGTGAAGATAGGGAGAGGCAATCTAGGTTCCTGCTAGGTGGATTTGAAGAATCAGTGCTGTTTTATAAGATTTCTATAAGAAATTATACAAGAAACTAAAATAATTTTCAAAATGCATTTTCCTATCAATCTATAACCCTTTATTTTACTTCATGAAATCTTTTTTTTTTTTTTTTTTTTTTTTTTTTTTTTTTTTTTTTTTTTTTTTTTTTTTTTTTGAGGGGGAGTCTCGCTCTGTCGCCAGGCTGGAGTGCAGTGGTGTATTGAGGAAAACAAAATCACTCAACCACAAGTTTAAATCCCTTGTGTGGGCCGGGTAGGGTTTGTTATACCTGTAATCCCAGCCCTTTGGGAGTCCGAGGCGGGTGGATTACAAGGTCAGGAGTTTGAGACCAGCCTGGCCAATATGGTGATACCCTGGCTCTACTAAAAATACAAAAATTAGCCTGGCGTGGTGGTGGGCACCTGTAGTCTCAGCTGCTCAGGAGGCTAAGGCAGGAGAATTGCTTGAACCTGGGAACTGGGAAGCGGAGGTTGCAGTGAGTCCATACCATGCCACTATACTCCAGCCTGGGTGACAGAGCAAGACTCCAACTCAAAAAAAAAAAAATTCCATGTGTGTTTGGACAACTAAGAGTAACTCTAATGCTCCATAATTCTACAGGAGACGGCTGGGCGTGGTGGCTTACGCCTGTAATCCAAGCACTTTGGAGGCCAAGGCGGGCGGATCCACTGAGTTCAGGAGTTCAAGACCAGCCTGACCAACATGGTGAAACCCTGTCTTAAAAAAAAAAAAAAAAATCTACAGGAGGCATTGTCGTTTGATCCTTGTTCTTTCTTATCATTGATATCCAGTGTGATTACACAGATGAAGACAAATCCAATGCCTACCTTTTAAAATCACTATTGTGTTTATTTGCTCTTCAGCTGGCTTTCAGCACATGAGAAATGTGAAAGTTAAATGTTGTATATAAATGACATCCAATTTGTGGCCTAGAGTATATACTTGCCATTAAAGTGTATGAAGCTATGAAGACTATAGATGCTTTTTTGAGCTAACATGGTTTCAGAATTGCCACAGTTACCAATGATTTCCATCCTGTTAAACTTTAGTGGTCTAGTCAACCCCTGAAAGTTCTCAAATTCATAATAGGATTTGACAGTTTATCACTTCCACCTCCTTGAAGTACTTTCTTCACTTGGCTTCCTAAATATCATATTCTCTTATTTTACTCACCACACTGCTGCTTTTCAGGATCCTTTACTTGTTCTAATTCTTTTTTCTGATTCTAAAGTTCAAGTTCTTGGCTAGGCGTGCTAGCTCACGCCTGTAATCCCAGCACTTTGGGAGACCGAGGCGGGCAGATCACGATGTCAGGAGTTTGGGACCAGCCTGGCCAACATGGTGAAACCCCGTCTCTACTGAAAATACAAAAATTAGCTGGGCATGGTGGCATGTGGCTGTAATCCCAGCTACTTGGGAGGCTGAGGCAGGAGAATTGCTTGAACTGGGGAGGCAGAGGTTGTGGTGAACCAAGATCGTGCTACTGCACTCCAGCCTGGGTGACACAGTGAGACTCCTTCTCAAAAAAGAAAAATGTCAAGTTCTCAGTCCTTCACTATTCTCTTCTCATACCCTCCCTATGTGATTTTATTCAGTCTCATGACTTTAAATACTTTCTTTCCTTCAATGACTTGAGCTCTAAATGCAGATAGTATATACTTTACTTGACCTTTCCTCTTGGAGGATGTCTATTATATATCTCAAACATAACATGTCCTGAACAGAACTGTTGATTTCTCACCTTCCTGAAACAGCTTTTCCCACAGTCTTCCATCAGTTAATATGGCACCACTATTTACCTAGTTACTCCAGCCATAAGCCCAGGGGTCATCTACCATTTCTGCTTTACTCACTACCCAGCCCTGACTCAACTCTTACTCCAGCCAAATTCAAAGTCACATCTTATTGCCTTCATCTTCAAAATACATGCTGACTACATCTATTTCTTACCACTTCCACCACTGTCCCCTTAGCCTGAACAGCCGTGATCTCTTCTGGACCACCACCAGAGCCTTCTACATGATCTTCCTCCACAGTTGTCTTTCTCCACAGAGTAACCAGAGTCATCTTTACAAGGTATCCATAAGTTCATGTTGCTCTTCTGCTTAAATAATCCACCCCTGTTCCTTTCGGAATAAAATCTGAACTTCTAGCCTGGCCTTACACCCTGCATGATCTAGTCTCAGTCTTTGTCTCCAGCCTCCTCATCCTTCATCCTCGAATACACCAAGCTTTTTCCTACCTCTGTCTTGTTACCTGATGTTTCTTCTGCCTGAAAAGCTCTTCCTTCAGATTTTCATGTTGCTGGCTCCCCTTAACATTCAGGTCTTTTCACAGGTCATCTCAAAGAGGTCTTCCCTGACCACCTGTCTAGACCAGCATTCTTGCTCTCAAGATCCTTTTGTGGTTTATCCTGCTTTGTGTTCTATGGAGCACTTAATAGTATCTGAGATACATTACTTGTTTTTTGATAACTTGCTTATCTCCTGACTCCTCCATGGAATGTAGTTTTCATAAGGGTAGGGACCTTGCATATGCTGTATCCCTAGTACCTGAAACATATCTGGCAGCATATGTGTTCAATAATTACTTCTTTTTTCTTTGAGATGGTGTCTTGCTCTGTCACCAGGCTGGAGTGCAGTGGTGTGATATCTGCTCATAGCAGCCTCCCAGGTTCAAACAATTCTCCTGCCTCAGCCTCCCGAGTAGCTGGGACTACAGGTGCGCGCCACCATGCCCGGCTAATTTCTGTATTTTTAATAGAGATGGGTTTCACCATGTTGGCCAGATGGTCTCAATCCCTTGATCTCATGATCCACCTGCCTCGGCTTCCCAAAGTGCTGTGATTACAGGCGTGAGCCACTGCATCTGACCAATAATTGCTTCTTAAGTAAAAGAATAAATAAAATATTAATTCATCAGTTCAAAGGAGTACACATTTTTGCATATTTTATAAATATATACATACATATGTGGGGAGATGGGGACTGGAACTTTTTGATTTCATAAGTAAATATGACTTTTGTGGAAAGTATGTTCTTATATGAATCTGTTTGGTTTCCTTTGTTCATAGGGGTTTTTTCACAGATAACAGGGAAAAACTGGATGGTACATCTAATTATGAAAAAACTGAATTCCTGAGCAAGATAAAAGAGGTAAGAAAGCAGAAATGATTACTTTTAGGTTATATTTCATTTTTAGTTAATATTTAAAATATGCGAGAAATACAGATTTTGTTCAAAAGGATATTTTTCATTGACCAATAATATGGTTATTTGTAGTAATTAATTTAAAATTTTTATCTCCTCCCAAAATACTTTAAATATGTGAAAGAGCAAAGGTTGTCCATGTACAGAGGAATTGTTTTTTGGTAACTTTTCATGTGAGTATGGGTACATTAGGAATATCCATGATTAATAGATTAATGGATATTTTTTATGTGAATTATTTAGAAAGTTATAATCATCTTGCTGTTGTGTTGCATCTGTGAAGTGCAGCAACCTGTTCTACACTTAAGAATATTCTAAATATTATATATCATATTGTGATTGTTAATACTGACTGTCAACTTGACTGGATTGAAAGATGCAAAGTATTGATCGTCGGTGTGTCTGTGAGGGTGTTGCCAAAGGAGATTAACATTTGAGTCAGTGGGCTGGGAAAAGCAGACCCACCCTTAATCTGGGTGGGCACAATCTAATCAGTTGTCAGTGTGGCCAGGATATAAAGCAGGCAGAAAAACATGAAAAGACTAGACTGGTTTAGCCTCCCAGCCTACATCTTTCTCCTGTGCTGGATGCTTCCTGCCCTTGAACATCAGATTCCATGTTCTTCAGCTTTGGAACTTGGACAAGCTTCCTTGCCCCTCAGCTTGCAGATAGCCTATTATGGGACCTTATGATTGTGTGAGTTAATATTCCTTAATAAACTCCCCTTTATATATACATTTATTCTATTAATTCTGTCCCTCTAGAGAACCCTGACTAATACATATAATATTCTAAATACGTAATTAGAAGTATTTGAGTCAGATTTAGCCCCAAGGAGAATTCACTAGACATTTTTCAAACTTAGGTTAAAAAAAACCTGTCATATCATATGTAAAAAATCATGTGGGTAAACCAAGATTTAGCCTCAAAATATTCAATGCAGCATTCATTAGGATAGTAAGAAATTGGGGGTGAGGGTGAAAAATACAGTTAAAATTCAACGAAAAGGCCTTGGTTAAATAATTATCAGTATTGCTTATAATATGTTACTGAGTCTGGGTACTGTGGCTCATGCCTGTAATCCCAGAGCTTTGGAAGTCCGAGGTGGGTGGATTACCTGAGATCAGGAGTTCAAGACCAGCCTGACCAATATGGTGAAACCCTGGCTCTACTAAAAATACAAAAATTAGGTGTGGTGGCTGGCACCTGTAGTTCCAGCTAGTGGGGAGGTTGAGACAGGAGAATTGCTTGAACCCTGGAGGCAGAGGTTGTGGTGAGCTGATATCACGCCACTGTATCCAGCCTGGGTGACAGAGCGAGACACCCTCTAAAAAAGAAAAAGAGACAACAGTATGTATGATATGATTCAATTTAATTATTTATATATACAAATACACATACACACTAGACATAACTGAAATTCTTCTTGTCCCTTGTATTGAAGGAGAAATGTCCTTAGTGTCTCTTCCCCTCACCTCATGTATTCTTTTCTTTTTTTTTGAGACAGTCTCGCTCTGTTGCCCAGGCTGGAGTGCAATGGCATGATCTCAGCTCACTGCAACCTCTGCCTCCTGGGTTCAAGCAATTCTCTTGTCTCAGCCTCCCAATGACTGGGATTACAGGCATGTGCCACCACACCCGGCTAATTTTTGTGTTTTTAATAGAGACAGGGTGATGACATGTTGGACAGGCTGGTCTCAAAATTCTGACCTGAAATGATCCACCCACCATCTCACTCTGATGCCCAAGCTGGAGTGCAGTGGCACAGTCACAGCTTACTACAGCCTTGACCTCCTAGGTCTAGGCGATCCTCCTGATGCAGCCTCCTGAATAGCTGAGGCCACAGGCACTCACCACCACACCCAGCTAATTTTTAAATTATTTGCAGAGGCAAGGTCACTCTATGTTTCCCAGGCTGGTCTTGACTCCTCAGCTCAAGCAATCCTCCTGCCTTGGTCTCCCCAAATGCTGGGGATTACAGGTGTGAGTCACCAAACCCTGCCATACATACTTAATTGTAATCATTCAGGACTTGAGTCAGGTACTCTCTTGTCTACATCCTCTGTCTTTGTTTTGCCCAAGTCAACCAGGATATAAAATTCGTATCTTTCACTAGTTTCTAAAACAAATACAATTATACTAAGCATTTCATGATCTATTGCAAACTCTGTTGGAAGTTTTAGTGGTTATGGGGAGAAATCCTGTTGCAGGATCTTCTCGCATTTTTGTGAGAAAGATGGCTTTCTCTCAAAGCCATCTTGTTCACCACCTTTTCTTTCTCTCACAGTTCCTCATCTATCTTCTTGCTGTAGGATACCACCCCACATCCAAATTCTTCTCCCTCTTTTACAAAGCATAGTATCTGCCTCTGCACCCATGCCCTGAGGCTTATCAGGGATATCAAAGGCAGCTCCCTCCCAGAAGAATGATTTGTACTAATTAAATGCTTTCCACTTTTGCTTTTGTGAGCTATCAGCATTAGAGATGGCTTCCCCTCTGGGCTACTCTGATTCTTTTAGTTGCAAGGATCCCTAATAACAGGCAGAAACCAAAGTTGGTTTATTGGCTGATTGGTTGGTTGGTTGGTTTCAAATTTGTCTTTCATTTTCTGAGCAAAATATTATTTTTCCTATATATATTCCAATAGGGAATATGTATTATCCCCAACTTTCTGACAATAACTCCACATTTTCTAGCCCACATGATTTTCTGAATAGTCTAGGACCCCTAAACTGGCATGGATTACTTGGTCAAAGGAGCAGCTGTAGAGGAGTTTCCCTTTAATCCGTAGCCATTAGCTAAATTCCATGTTTATAAGTGAATGATCACTTCAAGAGTGCAAGGCTCTGACCTATTTATTATTTTCACTGGAATAGAAACTATGGGCTCTTAGTGACATCCAATCATAGTTCTTATGAGTTATTGGAGAAGCATTCAAAGATGACATTAAACTCTAACTCTACCTTTTTTTCTCCAGCATCTCCCCACCCCCACCAGCCTCAGGCAACCATCATTCTGCTCTCTACTTCTGAGTTGATTTTTTTTAGATTCTATATATAATTGGGATCATGCAATATTGTTTTTCTGTACCTGAATTATTTCATTTAACATAATGTCCTCCAGATTGGTCCATGTTGTCACAAATGACAAGATTTTCTTCTTTTTTAAGGTTGAATATATTCAATTATGTATGTATATATCACATTTTCTTTATCCATTCATCTGCTGATGAACACTTAGGTTGATTCCACATCTTAGCTACTGTGAATAGTGCTGCAGTGAATATAGAAGGGCAGATATCTCTTTGCCATACTGATTTCATTTCCTTAGGATATATACCCAGCAGTAGGATTGTTGGATTTAACTTTTTTTATTATAAAATATTACATATTACAGAATAATACATAAACCATAGATATATAATATTTATGTACATATCTTTTTGATGAATATATTAATTTTAACAAAGTGCAGTTTATTAATTTTTTCTTTTTAGTTAATGTTCCTTATGTCCTATGTCATGAGAATATTCTCTTCTGTTACCATTGAGAAGCTTTGTTATTTGACCTTTCACACTTAAGACTATGAGCCATCTGGAATGTATGTGTGTGTGCTTTGAGATAGTGGGCAAGATTCGTATTTTTCCTTGAGGTTGTCCAATTAACCAGCACCATTTACTGAAAATACAATCCTTTTCTTCACCACATTGTGGTCATACTATTGTCATAAATCAAGTGTGGGTAATAAATATACATGTGGATTGTTGACTCTGTTCATTTGAACTATTCATCTCTCCTCACATTAAAACAATATTGTCTTAATTATAGCTCTAAAATGAGTTTTTATGGCTAGTGGTATAAGTCCTTCACCTTTTTCTTCATAATTGTTCCAGTTTGACCTTTTCAATTTCTATCAGTTTGTCAAGTTCTTCCAAAAAAACCTTAGATTTTGATTAGGATTGTATTAAATTTATAAATCAATTTGAAGAGGATTTCACATTTTCACAATATTGAAGCTTCCGGTTCATTAACATGGCATGTCTTTTATTTAGATATTCTTTGTTCCCTTCGCCTTAGCTGTTTAGTTTCACTATGATGTGTCCCAATTATTTTTTTGTTTTTCCTCCTTGGAATTTATTTGGCTCCTTAAATCTGAGACTTTATATATCTCATAAGTTCTGCAAAATTTTCAGCCATTATATGTTCACCTGTTTCTTTTGTCCTATTCTCCCTGTGTTGCCCAGGCTTATCTCTAACTCCTGGGCTCAAGCAATCCTCCCACCTCCGTTTCCCAAAGTGCTAGGATGACAGGCTTGAGCCACCATGCCTGGCCTACAGTAGATTTTGATGGATCTGTTTCACAGTGTTGATTTTACTCAAATGTTTAGAAACTCTAGATATTTGTTCATCTTTTAATTGTATGTGTGTGTGTGTGTGTGTGTATATAAATATATATATATAAAATATATATATATATATTTTTTTTTTTTTCTTTTTTCTTTGAGACAGGATCTTGCTCTGTCACCCAGACTGGAGTACAGTGACATGATAATGGCTCACTGCAGCCTCACGACCTCCCAGTCTCAAGCGATCTTCCTATCTCAGCCTCCCAAAGTAGTAAATTACAGGTGTGAGCCACTGTAGCCAGCCTTAATTGTGCATTCTTCTTGTCTCTTCTGTTTACTGAGCCTGCATGTAGTAATTTTGTGGGAGGTGCTGGGTGCAATGGTGTGCCTGTAATCTCAGCTACTAAGGAGGCCAAGGTGGGAGGATCATTTGAGCTCAGGAGTTTGAGACCAACCTGGGCAACATAGTGAGATGCCATCTCTCAATAGAAAAAGGAAAAGAAGAAACAAAAATAATTTTGTGGCAAGAGTGGGATGTGTTGATTGGGCTTATACATGTGGGGGTGGGAGGGATATATGTTAGGAAAAAAAGGACCTGTCTTGTCTTAGGTGTAACAATTCTATACCCAATTCTAGACTCCTGGGGTTAGTTACTGCCTGTGGTACTCACCGGTTTGGTGTGGAGAAAATCTCCACTACCGTTGGCTGATTAGTATAAGTGTCAGAAGTAAGGGAAGAAGTTGAAGCAAATACTCCATTTACAGTGGCTCAATTGGCCACCACAGGGAATGGCCCAGGGCCCTCTTTTCTTTGTATCAATTAACTCTGACATTAGGGTAGAGTTCTTTCTTAACCTTTCTACTTTTGTAATAGACTTATGGTGCAAGACATTTTTCTGCCAGTGTCAATCTTTTTCTGAGGCTCCGATTGTATGTATGCAATTATTCGTTCTAATATATGTATCCTCTACATATCATATCCACTATTCTGTATTTTCAACTTTTTGTCTCCCCTTCCTGCATTTTAAGCAGAGTGGTCTTATTTGAATTCTTAATTTTGGCTATTGTATTTCTCATTCATTCATTTAATTTTTTGAGACAGAGTCTCACTCTGCTGTCCAGGCTGGAGGGCAATGGTGCTATCTCAGCTAGCTGCAGACTCTGCCTCCTGGGTTCAAGTGATTCTCCTGCCTCAGCCTTCTGAGTAGCTGGGACTACAGACATGTGCCACCATGCCCAGCTAATTTTTGTATTTTTAGTAGAGACAGGGTTTTGCCATGTTGGACAGGCTAATCTCAAACTCCTGACCTCAGGTAATTCACCCGCCTTGGCCTCCCAAAGTTCTGAGATTACAGGTGTGAGCCACCATGCCTGGCCCATTATTGTGTTTTTCAACCGGTAATTTTTTGTTACCTTTCAGATCTACTGTGTCACTCATTACCATTTCTAATTCCCTGTTATCATTTTCAAGAATGTCTGTTTCTTCAATCATAATAAGCATACTAGTTTTATAGTTCAGTGTCTGATAATTTCAGTATCTTATGTCTTTATGGGTCTGTAGTCTGTTTCTGCAGTGTGTCATTTCTGCCAATGTTTGTTCATGCTCTTATTTCCTTCTGTTCCTGGTGGAAAACTGTATGCTGAACATTGTACTTAAAAAAAATGTTTGTGTTACAGTTTGGCTGTGTGTCCCCACCCAAATCTCATCTTGAATTGTACTCCCATAATTCCCACATGTTGTGGGAGGGACCTGGTGGGAGATAATGTGAATCATGGGGGCAGTTTCCCTCATACTGTTCTTGTGGTAGTGAATAAGTCTCATGAGATCTGATGGTTTTATCAGGGGTTTCTGCTTTTGCATCTTCCTCGTTTTCTCTTGCTGCCTTCATGTAAGAAGTGCCTTTCACCTCCCACCATGTTTCTGAGGCCTCCCCAGCCATGTGGAACTGTAAGTCCAATTAAACCTCTTTTTCTTCCAAGTTGTGATTATGTCTTTATCAGCAGCATGAAAATGGACTAATATGGTTTGTAAAAGCAATTTGAGGCTTAAGATAATGATGTTTACCCCAGGAGCAGTTTACATTCACTTCTGTCAGATGGGTAGGGTGTTACAAGTTCCAAGCTACCTTAATCCATGCTAAGCATCCCTCCCTGGTGATCAAAGTCAAGCTGGACTTGTTAACTTTCAATTTACCTTTATCCAGAGGGTGAAGCTCTTTGGAATTCCATACTGAAATAGTGGGAGGTTTATGTAGGCTCAGCACCTGGATGAGCAGTACATGTTGGCTTTTGTTCCACTTGCCATGCAAAAAACCCAAAACTTGGTTTTCACGTGGTTTCTTCTATGTTACAAATGTCTTCAGGGCAAGAGGAATTTTAAGTGCTAGCCTTATCACTCTGGATTCTTGCATTCTTAGATTCAAGTACATGCGCAGATTTGTTACAAGGGTATATTGCATAATGCTGAGGTTTGAGCTTCTAATGATCTCGTCACCCAGGTAGTGAACATAATATCTGATGGGTAGTTTTTCAAACCTTCCCCACTTCTTCTCTTCACCTTTTTGGAATCCCAGTGTCTATTGTTTCCATCTTTGGGTCCATATGTACCTAATGTTTAGTTCCTACTTAGAAGTGAGAACATGCAGTATTTCCTTTTCTGTTTCTGGATTAATTCACGTAGGATAATAGCCTCTAGCTGCATCCATACTGCTAGAAAGGACATGATTTCATTCTTTTTTTACGGCTGCATAGTGTTCTATGGTGTATAAGTACGACATTTCCTTTATCCAGTCTCCAATCCACTGTTCATGGGCACCTGGGTTGATTCCATGTCTTTGCTGTTGTGAATAGTGCTGCAATAAACATACAAGCACAGGTGTCCTTTTGGTAGAATAATTTGTTTTCCTTTGGATATATACTCAGTAATGGGATTGCTGGGTTGAGTAGTAATTCTGTGTTTTTTTTTGAGTAATTCTTTATTATCTTGTGAGTTCCTCAACACTTCTACAAATATTTGTCCCCAGACACAAGGTTGTTTTGAACTACTCAGCTCACTTTTTCTGCTAAACTTGACTTTCTTACCTTATTTGAAACAAACCAATATAAGCACAAAATTCATATCTCATGTAGAACACTGGTGGGTACTATTTTTTGTCCTCAAGTAGAAATATCTCATATGAAGCAAGCATAATATCAACTCAAAGACGTTTTGAGCAAGAGCTTCTAAGTATGTTACATTTTCTTTTATATTTTGTAGAGTTTATATTCTGGAAGAAGGACACATAACTGTTGCTGAACGATCACAGTTTATTCCTCCCATTTTGTATTTCAATATGGATTATTACTCTGTGGTTTTGAAGCAGGGTTTACTACTTTTCTATACTTAAAAAAATTTATAGTAGAGGCCCCAAAATGTACAGTTGCACATTTGCTATAGAATTAAATCACTCAACATTTATGGCATGTTCACCGTGTGCTAAGCAATATACCAGGTGCTCTCCGAGTTGCCACCTGATGCAGATCCCCTCAGAGGAGCAGTGAAGCAAGTCCTCTCATTCAACTCCTTTGTTTTTCTCTAGTTGGCTGAAATACTACATGCTGCTCGTATGAATTACAAAGACCTACGACAGAAAATGAAAACTCTTACCAGACAATATAAGATTGTTTTAAATGAAGAAGAAAAAGCTTTTTTGCAGAAACGAAAGATCCATGATGAGTATGTCTTTACCCACCATCCACATGTGATTCAACATGCCATTGTTAGGGGATGCTTTTCTTGCTATCAAAGTGGTGGCTCTCCTCTTAAACTTACCCTAGTTTTAAAATCTATTGACAAAAATGAAAATGTTTGCTATCATTTGCTGAGTTCTGTCTCAGCTCAGGCTGCCATAACAAAATACCATAGACTGGCTGGCTTAAGCAACAGAAATTGATTTTCTCACAGTTCTGGAGGCCGGAAGTCTGAGGTCACAGTACCAGCTTGGTCAAGTTCTGACTGAGGGCCCTTTTCTAGCTTATAGCCAGCCAGCTGCTTTCTCTCTGAGTCTTCACGTGGTGGATAGAGAGAACATGCTGTCTGGTGTCTTTCTTTTATAAGGTCCCACCCTCGTGACCTCATCCAAACCTAATCACTTCCCCAAAGCCCCCATCTTTATAGTATGCTTGAACATTATCATGACACTAAGCCCCTACAATGTTCCTTTCTGCCATTCTAAGGCACTTTAAATTTTAATTTTTTCTGATGAAAAAAGCAATGCGTGTACCTGATTTTTAAATTCAAATATAGAAATATATAAATTAGGGAGTAAAAATTACCCAAATCTCTCCATTTCTTCATCATGTTATGGGGTTAGGGTTTCAACACATAAACTCTGTAGGTAGAGAGGGGGAGACACAGTTCAGTCCACAGCAGTTTGAAAGAGTCACTGAGATAAAATACTTTCTGTTACAGGGAGGTTCCTATCAATATCTGGGCATTTGAACAAGACTAAAAACTTCTCTGAGCCTTATTATTTTCTCTTACAAGTTGAGACAGAAAAATAACTACTTGAAACCCTATCTCTACTAAAAATATAAAAAATTAGCCAAGCTTGGTGGCCCGCACTTGTAGTCCCAGCTATTTGGGAGGCTGAGGCAAGAGAATCTCTTAAACCTGGGAAGTGGAGATTGCAGTGAGCCGGAAGTCGAGATCATGCCCTCCAGCCTGGGTGACAAGAGCCAGACTCCATCTCAAAAAAAAAAAAAAAAAATTTAGCCTTATCCGTCCACACACTGAGAGGAACACTTTACATCTTATTAAATTCATTCATCCATTGAGCTAGGTATTGTAATCCTCATTTTATAGCTGGTGGAAACTGAGGCTTATTGACAGGTGAAGCTACTTGTTGGCTGTTATTATTAGATCACACCCTAATTAAGAGGTAGAGCCAGTATGCAAAGTTAGTCTCACTGACTCCACCTTTCACAGAAGAACATGACAGAATTGATAAGCAGGTTAGGAGAGACACACACAGTCAGAGAGATGGAGCACTATACAACTGTTCTTGTTGTTTTGTGGTTACCATTGTGGTGAATGTTCTTTCAGTGGTTTGGGAATTTTCATAAGTTTTATGAAAATCCTATGTGTAGACCAGGAGCAGTGGCTCATGCCTGCAATCCAGCATTTTGGGAAGCTGACTTAAACGGGTCACCTAAGACCAGGAGTTTGAGACCAGCCTGGGCAACATAGGGAAACCCCATCTTTACAAAAGCACAAAAATTAGCTGGGAAAAAAATTTTTTAAAGAAAATTCTATGCATAAATTTAGATGTAGCTACCACTAACAAAAAGACTTTGTTTTTAGTTTTAATAATTAGTGAATAGCTCATGATCTGAACTTTCAAAACTGTTTTTGAAATTCTTATTTGTGTTTGCATATTTGATTACGTCAGCCTTCAACAAATGATAACTCTGTTTTTCATGATAGAAATCAGAAACAACTGACATTTATTGCTCAGAAAGAATACTTTCTATCACAAAGGAGAGTAGACATAAAAAATATGGAAGAAGGACTCATCACACTCCAGGAACTTCATCGGTATATTTATTGCCTTCGAAATTTTTGATCTTTACTTTCTCGGCATTTATTTTTTAATAAATGATAGCAATAAATCTGTGTCAATTTCTAACATAGTACAGAAATTGAAGTTTATAACTAGCTCTCTCTGTTTCACAGTCTGGGAGTGATTCTCATGGAATTTTTCATTGAAAGGATAGGTTCTGAATTTTATGGGAGCTCCTGGGCCCCAGGAATGGACCAGTTGGGGTGCAGTGACAAGAATGTTCCTTAACATTATCACCTCACTGAGTCCCAGTGATGTCCATTCTGCATTCTAAGTCATTTTAATTTTTAATTTTTCTGATTAGAAAATAATACCATACATGATTTTAAAATTGAAATATAAACTGTATAACTTAGAGAGTAAAAGTTACCCTAATCTCTAAATTTTCCCATAGAAATAATCACTGTTAACAGTTTACTATATATGCTTCCAAATATATATTTATATGTATGTATCCAAAAATTGGATTATATTCTATAACTGAATTTGTTCCACTTAAAATTATTCCTGTGAGGATGATAAAACAAATAAGGTAAAATGGTAGCAGTTGGAAAAGTTGGTGAAAGATATATGGAATTCTTTGTACTATTTTTTATGCTTACCTGTTGAGTTTGAAACTATTTCCATATATATAGAACTATTTCTATATATATAGAAATATATATATATATATTCTTTTTATGTTTCTAGTTTATTTATCAGTGTGTCCTATTCTAAGTTTCATTTATGAATATTTCTTTTAAAAGATGTAAAGCAGCATTTTACTTATGTGGCTTTCAATTTATTTATGTTGGGGAGGCAATTAATAGGGAAAAGGCGGGGCAAGGGATAAAAATAAAGGCTTCTGTTACCTGTGTTGGAATCTTCACATTTCCATCCATCCTAGCACAAGAAAATCCTCTATCCTTAGTTGCTACATTTCTTCAGTTCAAGAAACTATATTGGCTTTATGAATTACATATTATATCAAACCAGAGCTCAGTCTGGGGTCCGGAGTTCCTCAACAATATGTCAACCTTACTTTCTTATTTCTTTTCTTCATGTCCTCTGTATACAGCAAGCCTACAGTAGGTTGTAACAGAGGCCTGAGGTGCTGTTCCTTCTCTCTCTGTATTTGCATATGATGACACCCTTTCCTTGGTAAGATTGCATCTCCATTCTGACAACCCACATTCCTCCCTCTGAGAAACATTAACCTTCAGTTACCCTTCATCAATTGCCTCTCCAGAAATCTCTTCTCTATCCTTGGCTATCCACCAACCCTTGCAGAATCAGTTTGCAGTAACACAGAATTGGAATTGTCTTTCTACCGCTCTGCCACTAAAATCTTTAGTTGTTTCACAAGACTTGCTTTATCTCCCAATTAGACATAGCCTTACTGAGCATACAAATTATACTTATAAAGAATCTATTGTGTATTCCAACAGCTCCCACAAATGCAAAATCCAATATGTTTTTTCTTTTTAGAGCAACAAAAACAGTATATCAGCAACAAATCAAAATCCTGAGTGCTAACCTGGAAAGAGAAAGTCAGAGATGGTAAAAAAAAAAAAAAAAAAAAAAGTTTGTGTTTTGTGTTATCAGCAGTATATGTATCTTAATGAACAGTGCACAGTAGTTGTTACGAGAACCCAAGGAAATGATTTTCCTAAATTAAATTGTGTAAATTCTCTCAGATCTAGATATATTGGTTAATTCAATTTTTTTTTGACATTGAACAGAACCAGCGTTTTCCATTTAAATCAAGTAGAGTCACCAAAGAGTAAAATTGCTAATATTTGTGCAATGCCTTTTGCTCATCCAGGCCTCTTTGTGAACCAGTAGTGGTTAGAGAGGAAAGTGGTGTGAAGGTTACAGGCTCTGCAGATAGGCTGCTTTGGTTGTTGTCCTTATTAGCTCTGTGACCAAGGCTAAGTTATTTAATAACTTCTCTTTGCTCCCATCCCTATAAAGTGGGGAAGGATAACAGTACCTACCTTATAAAGAAGCTGTGAATGTAAATGAGGTGATACATGTAAAATACTATATTTAGATGAGTGCACCTAAAAAGCTCTTGCTTATACTTAGCTGTATTTTATTATTGTTGTTATTATTTGATACAGTCTTGCTCTGTTGCCCAAGATGGAGTACAGTGGCACCATCTTGGCACATTGCAACCTCTGTCTCCCAGGTTCAAGCGATTCTTGTGCTTCAGCCTCCAGAGTGGCTGGGACTGCATCCACCACCATGCCCAGTTATTTTTTGTATTTTTAGTAGAGATGGGATTTTGCTATGTTGGCCAGGCTGGTCTAGAACTCCTGGCCTCAAGTGATCTGCCTGCCTTAGCCTCCCAAAGTGCTGGGATTACAGGTGTGAACCACCATGCCCGGCCAGTGTTATTATTGAATGTGCAATTAAATACTCAAATTGCACATTTTTACCATTCTTCATATATGTAGCTTTTTCATGTTGTGGTGGAGAAAAACTTAAGAACCCAGAAGTTTGAAATCTATTAGCAGCACATCAGGTAATTTAGGTAATTCTATTACTATTTCTGTCTGGGCCTCTTTTTCCACCTGCCCCAAGCCTTCCTCGTTTCTGTTCCTTAACCTGAAGGAGGCAAGATGCCAAGTGTGGTTTGTTCACTGTTCTATTGGACGTGCAGATGTAACTTCTTACCCTGAAGCAACTTACAGAGACAGAATTGAAACAGTGAATGTTTTGTCTTACCTTTTCTAGGCAATGTGTGTAGCCTGCAACACTAATAGCACAAACAATATTGTGTAGTCATAGTATGACTTGTTTTGCTTTGAATTTCCTCATGTTTTTAGTAAACCACCATGTCAATTTAATGGTAATTCTTTTTGTTCTAATCTCTAGTGTTATAACTCAGTGGCAAATAGCTTGCTTGAGAAAACAGCATGCACGCTGGACAGCCAAGGCAAACGCTGAAATAGAAGCTATTATGGAAAAAATTCAGAATGCAGAAGCTAGACGAATTGAATTACTTACTGAGGTAAGGGAACCCAAGGAATTTAGAATTAGTCCCCTACATTGCATATCAGCAATTCTCATTCAATATTTAATTACATCCTATCTTATTAAAAAGTATTTTCCTTTCTGCCGAGTTCATGTTTAGAGTGAATTATTTAATTTTCTTAGGAAGTGTATTCATTTGCTGTATATTAACTAGAGAGAATTAGCAAATAAAGTAGATATGCTTTTGAAGCATGTAACTAGAAACTTACTTAAGGTTAGTCTTTAGGTGAATTACCTCTAAAAATATGAGCCCAGACATCATTTTTTAAGCTTTTATGTTTACCCTCTGCTCACTCACTGTCCTCTACCCTCCCCACTCCTTGTGTCATATTTATAAAAATATCATTTGGTGAATAACTTAATTTCTGGAGGGAAACTGTTTCTCTCAGTGGTTGCTGAGAAATTATATAAACTGAAATCAGAAGCAGTCCTCATGCAAAGAGATATTAATTTCCTGGCTATTTGAAATGACAAATTCTCATTTTTCTCTAATTAGACCAGTTTCAGAGAAAAGGAGATCAATGAATTTGTGGCACAGATTGACAAACTTACAATAGAATTAAAAGAAGATGAGAAAGAGTTTATTAACAAAGAAAAAATGTTAATGAAAGAGATAAGCAAGTATGAGGTAAATTTTATTTTACATCTAAGAATACTTTTGGATGACTACATGAGGGGGAAGGGGAATACTATTTCATGCTATTCTAATCAGTTAAATGCAAAATAAATATTCTAGTATGAAAAAGGTTACAGTTTCATTCTGGACCTTTCTTCTTTTCCTGAAGAGGAAGCAAAATAAGAAATATGTTTTCAGCAAAATAATAATAATCACACTTCAGATTATGTAGAACTACTGGCAATGGCCTCAGAGACAGTTGGAGCTGAACAGGAAGCCATTTGGAGCTGGCTTGACAATAGCTGGGGCAAGGGAGACTAGTAAAGTCAGTCTCAGATGTGCTCCCTAAAAAGAGGATATCATGCTGCCTTGGGAACTGCCAAAAGCCAGCTTGAGATAGAACAGGGCATGGGTGCTGGGGGAGGTAGACAGAAAAGGCACTGAAAGTACCCAGAAGTGCCAGGTCTGCAGATCTGCAGACACACACACACACACACACACACACACACCCCTTTTCAAGGTGACACACACACACACACACACACCTTTTCAAGGTCACACATACACACACACACACACACACACACACACACACACGCACCTTTTCAAGGTGATATTACCCTGGAGGCAGCCATTAACAGAGCAGCTGAGCATAGGGATGGTGGTAGAAGCCTTCCTGAACTGGATTAGGTTTGGAAAGAAAGAAGAGGTCTTGGCTACACCAAAGAGGGGTTTTATTTGAAGGAAACAGTCTCATACTGCGAGACGAAAATAGGGAGCTCTGAAATGTCCTAGTTTAGAATCTTACCTGATCCAAGCTGTCTTCCCCAACCTCATCCCATCCTGCCACATCCTGCAGAAACCCTCTGCAGATGACTGGCCCAAGGACAGCTAATCCTTTCTATTAATATTAGTAACCAAAAGAAAGTAGACACTTTTTTTCATACAAAAATACTAGGAGAGAAACAAGTGAAAACAGGAATAAAACTTTCCAACAAATGAAGAACACTCAGAAAAAATGGTGGCACAGAACAAATAAAAACTATAATCAGGCCAGGCTCGGTAGCTGACACCTATAATCCCAGCATTTTGGGAGGCCAAGGCAGGTGAATCACAAGGTCAACAGTTCAAGACCAGCCTGGCCAAGATGATGAAACCCCATCTCTACTACAAAAAAAAATTAGCTGGGCATGACCAAGATGATGAAACCCCATCTCTACTACAAAAAAATTAGCTGGGCATGGTGGCACATGCCAATCCCAACTATTCAGGAGGCTGAGGCAAAGAATTTCTTGAACCCAGGAGGTGAAGGTTGCAGTGCGCTGAGATCCTGCCACTGCACTCCAGCCTAGGTGGCAGAGCAAGACTCTGTCTCAAAAAAAAAAAAAGAAAAACTATGATAAAATATTCTTCCGTGAATTTAAAAAAATAGTTTAATGGCAGTACAAAGGAAAATTATCAGTATGGAAATGTAGGAACTTAGGTAACAGATGTCAGAAGGTGATGGCCAGAAAACAGTAAGAGCTAAAACAGAAACTAGCACAACTCAGGGAACAAAGGAAAGAAAGCATGACACAAGTAACTACAATGTTAGTAGAAACTGTGCAGGGGAGAGAAGTTGGGGTGGAAAGCATTAGTCTAGGTGCCTGGCATTCTTCTAAATGCTGAAAAACATGCAAAAACTCTGCACTTATGGAGCTTACTATCTAGCGATGGGGGAATGAAAATAAATGAGATAAACAAGTAGAACATGTCATATATTGGATGGTGATAAATGGTACAGAGAAAAATCAGGTAGGGAAGTGGGACAGGGAGAGTGCACGTGATATGGTCTGTGTGCTGTTGTAAATAGGGTAGTCAGAGAAGGAATACTGAATATGAGCAAGTGTGCCCTGCAGATGTCTTCAGGAGATGGCTCCAGGCAGAGGGCATGCCAGGCAGGAAGGGCCTGAGGCAGGACCCTCCTATCTAAGGAATCACAAAGGGGTGGGGTTGCTGAATAAGAGCTGGGGAGTGCCAGGGTAGTGGGGAGTCATCTTCAGGAAGCAGATGCTGAGACGGAATTAGGAGTGTAAAGCCATATTAGGGAGAAGTATCTGTGAAAAGATTGGGCAGGGAAAGCGGTCTGGCCATTATGTAGCCTGACAAACTCTCTCTGGGGAACTCAGGAGCAAGGACTGCCTGTTTGAAGAGGACTGCCTTGGGCAGAAATGACTGCATCCTTGCACCACCTCTTTGCTTAGTCACTGATTGGGGACTGCCCCAAAGGAGCATGATATTGGCTAGATAGCTGAGCTGACCCTGAAGGAGCCAGCTATTGGAGGTGTCAGCTAAACACATTCCTCACAATGGTGTGTGGTGAGTCCACCCTCAAGAGGAGATCCAAGTGGAGCATCTGCACATCCTTATAGCCTATCATAAGTGTTTTGTCCTTTGCTCTGTCTGAGCTAGAAAGCCATTGGAGGGTTCCGAGTGGAGGCTGAAATAATCTGAGTTTCCTTTAAATATGATCACTCTAGCTTCTATGTTGAGTAGAATTTAGGAAAGAAAAGCGTGGGCACAGAAGAACAATTAGGGAGCTATAGCAATAACCCAAGTGAGAAATGAAGGTAGCTTGAACCAAAATGGTAACTGAAGAGGTGTTAAGACGTGGTCAGCATCTCAGATATTTTTGATAATTTTACCATCATACGTACTGGTAAAACAATGAGGTCCATCCCTTTGAGTCATGAACAGGATAAGGAGTAAGGATCCTATTTAACTTTTTACTCAAGTTTATACAGTGCAATTAGGCAAGATACGTAAAATAGAAGCATAAAACTTGGCAGATGAAATAATTGGTAGATTGCAAAACTCAAGAAAATCAACTGCAAACCCACTGCAGACAGGCCTCCAGCCTGCGCTCAGCTTCCCAGGCCATGTGCTCACTGCAGGGTTTTGTCCACCCACACCTAATTCACACAAACGCATGGGCCAATGGCAGCCTGTGCACCATTATTATATAGCAATAACCCAATTTCCCCTTGATAATCACCGTCAGTAACCTCAGGCACATTGTAATCCCATTTCGGCCTTTGATTCAGTGGCATGAGGAGCCCAAAATTGGAAGGAAGCAACTTCAGATTCTGGTTTATGAAACTGTTGTTGTGCCCCTGGTGGGACCATTTTTCTCCCCAGTAGTATCTCTAAATCAACAGAACCCAAAGTCACAGGGAGGAAAAGCAAAATCATTAGGTTTAATAGTGAGAAGTCCCACTGCCATTTGGGTCCCTGGCCCATAAATTCTAAGGAAAACAGCCCTGAATATTAATAAGATTAGTAACTGGTTCATAATATAAGCATCCCAATGTTGGGATGTGTTGTCTACAAGGCAGTGCTGTGACTGGCTTTTCCATGGACCTGGCTCTGATACCAGGCCCTCCATTGTAATTCTTCTCTCAGGATGATTTTGCTCATCATCCTGATACATCATGGACAAGCCCATGTGAAGGACCATTCACTTTTCTGGGTCCGACAGCTCTGTATCTGGCAGAATTTGATCAGACAAGCAGAGCTGCCAGGAAAGGGGTTTATTCCAGGACTTGACCTTCTGTAACTGTGGTATCTAGTTGCACAGTCTGGTGAGGCTGTCAGCTTTACATCTGGTGCTGAGGCCTGAAGTCAGCTGGGCAGGTACTTGGTATGGAAAGACCAACAGGAAGTGAATGGAAGCAAGGACAAACTGGAATTCACAGGATGAGCGAGTGTAGACTGGAATCTACGTTGGTACCTCTTTTCCAAGGCTTCAACTTCAGGGAGATGGGGGACCTGAAGCATAAACTCAAGCCTGTCACCACTGACCTAAATGTGTCTGTGGCTTAGGAATCAGACACTGAGAAAGGATCTGGAGGATCTGAAGACTGTGCACCTGACTGGCTGCCCCACTCCAACAATGTGAGCCCGCAGACAAAGCAACAACTTGCTACACTGAACCTGTTAACCCACCGTCTCTTTTGGAGCATGAAACAAGAGCATGGCTTCTCATCAGGGCAGCCCTGGCAGCCTGAGCTGTGTACAGGCAATGGGAATGAATTAATGCATGCACATACAAACTTTTATTCACAGGCTATTCTTTTTTAAAAAACGCCATCTCTACTAAAAAAAATACAAAAAATTAGCTGGGCATGGTGGTGCACGCCTGCAGTTCAAGCTAGTTGAGAGGCTGAGGCAGGAATTCAGGAGGCAGAGGTTGCAGTGAGCTGAAATCGTGCCATTGCATGCCAGCTTGGCACCTGGTGACAGAGTGAGACTCTGTCTTGAAAAAATAAAAACAAAAACAAAAAAACACAATATGGATAATACAGGATTGTATTTCTTAAATCAACCTTTCCTAAATGTTGCCGTCTGGAGAAATGTACTCCTGCTTCTGCATTATATTTTTGAATTATGGTTTTTTTCTATGCATTTTAGCTTCTGTGTATTTATTCATAAGGATGCTAATGGCAATTTGGGAAGGGACATATCAGCCAGCATGTCAGTGTATTAGTTAAGGTGCAAGAGAACTACTCTGTCAAAGATATACCAAAACACAGTGAACATAAGCAAGATGTGAAAAGGGTTAACAATCTTTTTATCGGGAAACTGGCCTTGAGTTAACTTTCTGGCTCCTTCCCCTAATAGCTTGATGAAGGTAGAGTATCAGCTATATTATCAAGCAGCATTACTTGTATAACAAAAAGTCCTGATTCGTATACTGAATCTTGACTGGAAAAATAACTCATGGGAAATTGTGGCATTGGGCTGGATTTGATGGCTCTCTTAAGTGGGAAGAGAGACCTGGAAGGTATGTCCAAGATATATTAGTTCCTATATAAACATGGGGTTTCTAAGCCAGGGAAGCCATACCCCACCTGTGTGAGTCTCTCTCTCTCTTGCATCTAAAGTATCGCTTTGGTGGGTTTGAAAGAAACTAGCCACCGGTCTGCTGTGTTGTCCAGACACCTCCCAATGGGGAAGCATACCTGGCACTGGCCTGCTAAAATTTAGCATTTCCTTCCAATTATATGTGTATACAACTTGGACAAAAATGAAAACTAAAACTAAAAGTATTTTAAGAGTAAACTGGGTCAAGTGTAGCCTAATCAAATTTTGTGAGTCTGAACATCTAGTGGAGAAGATGCTCTAAAGTGATCATTACAGCAAGAGAGATGTTTGTTTCTCTTTCCCAGTCCAGGCCATCAGGAAGGGATCCAGGGCTGACAGAGTGGCTCTGCCATCCTCAGCACGAATCTAACATCTGTGTGTCAAGTAGTGGCCTCCATTCTCATTCTCCTCTGGCCAGGGGAGGGAGGAAAGGACCAAAGGAGCACACAGCTGTTCCTGTTACAGGAGCAGAGCCCAGAAGTGGCACACATGACTTCTGTTCACAAACTCCTTGGTCATACTCACCTGCAAGGGAAGCCCAGAAACCACACTCTAGCCAGAAGCCATGGGTTCAGCTGAAATTCAGGAGCCCTAATATTGAAGGAGAAGAGAACAAATATTAAGTGTCAGCTGGCAGTCTCTGTCTTAGTCACCGTTTAAAATCGATCCTGATTTGCTAAGAAGGGTCCAATTATTATTCCATGTGAAACTAAATAAAACTTGAGTTTGAATAAGTAAGCAGACATCTTCACGTTTTTGCTTTGGGCACTTTTTACCCATTTATTTTATCATTATATCCAATTACTTCTATCCTCTCCGCATTTCTCACATCCAACATGTGTTAGAAGTGTATTCTGTTTATCTGCCTCTTTTTGGTAAAATATTATCAAAGGAAATTTTCTCAGATATGTTTTTGGGCTGTATATATGATAATTTTCATAGAGATATAGCAGAAGAGATATAAAGCAGAAAGGATCTTAAGAGAACCAATTAAATCTAATCTCCTTACTTTGTAGATTGTCAGAGTGTCAGTGAGTCAGGAAACAAATATTTATTAAAAGATTAGTATATGCCATATATCTTTCTATGTACCTCGGGATAGGAGACCAAGACAGGTGAAACTCAAAAAACATATTCTACTTTAAATTGTTGTGTGAATTATCCAAAATTATATTTCTCAATTGATTTTATTTTCTTTAAAGGAAATATTTGTTAAGGAAATACAAATGACCAAAGAAAAGGAAGAGGAATTAGTTGAATGTCTTCCACAACTTCAGGTGGCAGAAGAAGAGTATAGAGCGAAAAAAAGAAAGTTAGCAGAGCTCAGTAATATTGCTACAGGTACGTATGAAGCATTTAGTGATTAAACCCAGTCTCAGGTAAGGATTTCACTGTCATCTTCTAACACAAGGCAGATCATCAATTGCAAGCCAATGGTGAAATTCACCAAACTTTTCCCATTGTCTTTAGGCATCTATTCTCTAGTTTTTGCTTCACCTACTAATTTCTCCTCCACACTACAATATTACTGTTGCTATTGTCAAAATTTTTCTTTTCTCTTTTAAGAACTATTTAAGACTTAGTTGTTTATTATTTTCTTTCTCTCCATACTTCGTAAAGGTAGAACTGACTTATTTATTTTCTACCATGTGAAAAATTTTTTCTATTTCTTACCATGAATTTGCAAATTATATCTCTTTTCCCGCTATGATTGTAACCATTTATTGAGTAGGTACTCCTCAGATTTTTTTCACTAATTTCCTACTAAGGTAGAGGTAGGTAAGAGCTTGTCTCAGTTCTGGGGGTTAGTAGAGAATGTGAAGTATGTCTGAAAGTATGCATATTTTGAATTATATCACATAGTATAATCATGCATATTAAACATAAAAATAATTATTTTATCCACAAAAAATTGAATGTGATCATTCAACCCTGTGCTGAGGGTCCAAAGTTTATATATCCAAAATCTTCTTGAAAGAAAGAAAGAAGGAAAGAAAGGAAGAAAGAAAAAAAAGAACAAACAGATAGGGTCTCACTGTTGCCCAGGCTGATTTCAAACTCCTGGGCTTAGGAGATCCTTCTACCTTGGCCTCCCAAAGTGCTGTGCCTGGCCCAGAATCATCTTTTTGAGTTTTGAGTCTTGTATTGCATTTGGGGAGTAGAGGGATCATTATCTAAGGAGTCTGCCCAGGACTTTTAAGCAGGAACAACTTCCAGAATTTGTATCTTCTAGTTGACGAAAGAAGATATGTGGGAATCAGAAGGCCAGGACCAAAAGTTACAGAAATAACTAGAATGGGAACAAAAATTGTCAACTGGTTAGCAAAGGTGAATATTTAAAATTGCCTGTGTCAAAATGGGACATTCATAGGGAATCCCAATATGTTCAAATGTAAAATAAATATTCAAAAGCGAATAGTGATTATTGCCAAGGAGGGTGGATTTTTTAAAATGTAAGAATGTTATAATAATAATACATGGGTAATTGGTCTGGTTCCCACTCCTCAGTTGATTTTCCACTTTTTTGTCAGGTTTTCTTGGCCTCCTACCACTTTTACCCAGACAGACAATACAT